CCCTTGGGATAAGGTGGACTAATATAATATATAAATATAGATATTTAAGTGCAGGGGGATCAACAAATGAAAGGATGATTTGAATCTATGATTCCGATAAGTAAAAATAATTGAAAGCGGTAGTTTATTCTACGGGTATTTACTATGTAAATATCCCTTTTAAATATTATCTTATTTAGGTATATAAATGAGATGATTAATAGCCCCGCCCGGTAGGGCCTTAAATACTACTATTTTAATTATTTTGATATTTTTTTTTTCTTTGATTTGGTATATATCCTATTTATATTTTCAAAATATGGATATTTAAAATATTTTTTAAGACAAGATTAAATCACTTATTTTTATGATATATAACTTTATAAATAGATATGATAATCATGAGATTTTAAAATATATGTTTTAGGTATGCTATTCCCGACGACTATGTCGTCGGGTAAGAGGATAGCTGTACTTAATACGATATATAAAAATTGACTTCATATAATTACTTCGATACGTATAACCCCGCCAACTACGTCGGCGGGGAAGTAAATATGATATATATTGATCTATATATATATGTACTAGATATGTATTCTAAAGCCCATGATTCGCAAGTTGCGAATCCTGGGCTAATGATTAGTATGAATAAGATATTTGACATATTTAACTACTTGACCTCTTCGATGATGTAGTCCCGACGACTATGTCGTCGGATAAGAAATAGTTGTACTTGATTAGGTATTTGACATATCGACTAGATAAATTACTACGATATGTATAACCCGCCGACGTAGTCGGCGGGGAGATAATATGGATTATAATACTTTGTTTCTCTAACTACTTAATCCCCGATCAGCATTGCTGATCGGGGTAATATATGACTATATTGATATATCAATTTTTATATACTTAAGTTTATTCATAATTTAGTCCCGACGACTACGTCGTCGGCTAAAACGTTAGCTGTACTTAATACGATATATAAAAATATGACTTCAGGTTAATGTTTTGGTATATATACCTTTTTATAATTGATGATTTATTTTTAAAATTTATTTATATTTTTGATATATAAGTAAATATGATATATACTTATTTTAGAGATATAAAAATTTTGATATGTACTCTGAAGCCCAGGATTAGCTAATAGCAAAACCTGGGCTAATTATTAGTATGGATAAGATAGATGACATATTTAACTACTTGACCTCTTTGAGTAATAAGATATTTTACATATTTAACTACTTGACCTCTTTGAGTATTTAGTCCCGACGACTTTGTCGTCGGAGTAGTAATATGGATAAGATATTTTACGTATTTAACTACTTAACTTATCACCCGAGATTAACAATTTGTTAATCTCGGGTATATCAGATTTCATATATGTTATTATATATTTTACCTAGTTGGTTATTTAGTCCCGACGACGTAGTCGTCGGCTAAAACGTTAGCTGTACTTGATTTGATATATAAATTCTGACTTCATACTAAAGGTTTGATATGTATAACCCGCCGACAAAGCCGGCGGGGATATGGTTATTGTTTCTTGACTTTTTTAACTACTTGACCTTAAACCCGAGATTTACTATTTGTTAATCTCGGGTTATTAATACTTCATCTTTTTATCTACTTTAGAAATATATATTTAATGTCCTCCCCCCTGCGGGGGAGGATATCGCCCGCCCAACGGGCGGGCCATTAATGATATATCTATTGACATACATAGTTAATGAGATATTTCATCCCGGCCTGCAGGCAGGCCGGTTAAATATCATTAAAGAAGATATATGTTTTGAGTTTCTTTATCTTATTGATGATGTAGTCCCGACGACGTAGTCGTCGGTGAAGACATAACACACATGATATGATATCTATTTTATGATTTATTTTAATCCTTTTGGTATTTAATCCCCGGCCAGCAGGCTGGCCGGGTATAGTCTTAGATTCAATAAATATATGATATCTAATTCTTCACGTATGTATACCCCGACGACTTAGTCGTCGGGGTTCTATTATTGATTCATTTATTTTATATTTTATCTTATATATCATTTATTCTCTTTTACCCACTATTAGTTTACTAATAGTGGGTTAATAAATAGTCTTCAATTTGGTATTAAAAAAATATATTTTTATCTTTATTTCCATAATGTATCCCCGATGACTTAGTCATCGGGGATTAAGTATCTATTCTTTATTCTACTTAATCCTTTTCATACTTAATCACCAGTTATTAAATATTTAATAACTGGTGATATTTCTATCTTTTTATAGTTTATTTATATATCTAACCATTTGATATTCTCTACCCGGTTAGTAAACTAACCGGGTTATATATCTATTAGTTTATGGCACGCCGAAGGGCGGGCTATATCCCCCCGCAGGGGGGGTGATATTATTTCAATCTTTATATATCATTTAACATATAGATTATCTAATCTATTTTAGTAATTTAAACAATAGATACTTAATCCCGGTCTGCTGGCAGACCGGGATATATACGTGATTCTATTTAGTATTTCAAAATATTATATATCTCATATCTTTTAAAGTAGAATAGACTAAATAATAGATACTCTCTACCCGGCCTGCAGGCTGGCCGGGTTACATTTCCTTATCTTTATTATACTTCATTATTGATATATCATTTATAAAGTTAAATAACTAATAGATATATATATATCATACAATAAATATCAATGGTATATCTGAGTGTGATCTGATTAACCTTTAAGAAGTGGAACATAGTGAACGTAGTGAACGAAGTGTAACGTAACAAAGGTTGGTCACCGATTGATATACCTACATTTTAATCTTAATAACCGGTCAAGTATTTCATTATGTCATATATATTAACTATGTACTTATCTTATTTATATATATTTCATATCTTTACTTATCTATTCAAAGAGTGGCGTAGTCACTCTATATCTAAACCCACACGTAGAGTGGGTTATCTCATTTCTTTCTCTTATCGGACAAATAAGTCATAAGGTCAAATATGTCATTAATACAAACATGTAGATATCGCATATATAAAATATAGGTATTTACAAAGTAAATACCTTAAAAGCAATAACATGACCCCCCCAAAGGTGGGCCATTTAGTATACACTTTGCTTTAGGGAACCGAAGGTTCCTAATAAGTTTATCGTTAGATCAATCCCCCCAATATAAATATTGAAAGTACCATCATTAATTACCCCCCCTTGGATTCAAGGGGGGAGGAAACTATATCAGTTTAATTTAATTACCTGGATCTGATAAGTATGTATTTATTTGTTTTATTATCTAGTAATAATAGTAGTTAAATAAATATACTTATACATAAGCTCGAATACCTCAAATTGAGGTATTCGAGCTATTAGACTTTTATTTAAATATTAGACTAGGTCATACATCTAAATAAGTGTAAAATAGACCCAAATACGCTAAGCGTATTTGGGTTACATAACTTTTATTATTTAATACATGGATCAGAAGGCCTGACGACTTGGGATATGTCTGCTCCCCCAAGATAAGCCCCCAGCTTTGCTGGGGGATAACCTGATACCGATAAGGGAAAAGGTAACTGGGGGATGATTATTTAAGTATTTAAAATATATACAAAGGGGGTTGATAAATCCATATAAATCTAAATCATAAATATATAAACTGCCCGACATCAGCAATTTGCTGATTTCGGGCTATCGATTATTTACTTTTATTGATATTTTATATAACTATTTATTTTAGTCTCCTGAAAGGTGGACTTAATCACGGAATAATTTCATTATTCCTTAAAAGAATACATATCAAATTGATATGTTATTTCTTCATAACAGGCTCGTGTTAATCTATACTTAAAATAAGGTATTTACAAAGTAAATACCTTTGAAGAAATTCTCATGACCCCACCAAAGGGGTGTTTATAAGTCATTCCTACACGTGGTTCAATTACTATACAAATTGATTACCCGAAGAGGGTTATTTTTAAGGCTTTATGATAAAAGGAATCGGGTTATGTAATTATGTAAAATAATAAAAACTTTAATTATTTATTATTATTTAAAAGAAAAAAACATATAAATAGGGCCCCCCCATATTTTATGGGATTAATGAATATTTGGATCTGATAGCCTAAAAATGTTATGAGGGGATTTGCTCCCCCAAGGTAACTGGGGGATGATAATGACATAGAATGGCCCCACCTCTGGTGGGGCTATCGCCCACCCTCCGGGTGGGCCATTCATAAACTAAATTAGGGGGTTGATGAACCTTATATTTAAGATGATTTATCATCTTGGAACCTAAAAGGAATAAAAGCATATAACTGTAATTGATAAGTATATGGGATATTTACTATGTAAATACCCGTGGACGAAAAATAAGTTGACATGATAATATCTGTATTCATTATAGACGATGGAGTGTTTAATGGAATCATAGATTCAAATAGCCTGATTTAAATATTAGAACCCCCTACCATATATATTTATATATAAATAAGATTTGTCCCCCTTACCCCAAGGGGGAGCAGACTATATACTAGTTAAAGCCACATGATCCAGAATTTATAAAATTATATTAAATAGAGATATATCAAATATTTAAGTATTTGTATTCAATAAATTACACGAACCTAGCGAAGCCCCCCTCCAGAGGGCTTATATCATTATAATTAAAATATATAAAAAAATATATATCTATATGACCTTATGAGTTTTATGACCTGAAGAGGTAAAAATATCTCAAAATGGGATTTAAATTTATAAACCAATAGATAGTTTATAAGTCATTGCTACACGTGAAACAATTATAAATAGGTATGAAATATATAACCTAACCTTTATATAAAAATTAAACTTATCTAATACGCACTTAACCCGGCCAGCAAAAGCTGGCCGGGTATTTATCTATGACTCATATTTTCTTAAAATTTTACATATCTAGTCTTTTTATATACTTATTATTGTCGACATAGGACATGTACTTAGTTTTCCGGGCATAGATAAAATACATCATTTGATTTATATCTAATACACATGTTTATAAATAGATTCATTATAGACTCTTTTATAGACACAAACTATGAATAAATATATAATATTAATAATTATTATAATCGGAACATTAATTAATAATCTACTAATACCAGTACTTCCTAATACTCTTAATAAACCATTATCGATATATACATTAATTAATCCACCTAATTTTAACATATTTCTAATGATTATATTATTTAATATTTGATCAAAATAGATACGTTGGTTGAAGTAATTGTACACCGGTGATTTATTAATTTTATAAGTAAATTCATAAATATAAACTAAACTTATTGATAAAGTTAGTCCTAATATTAATGGTAACAATTTAATTATAAATGGTAAAGTATATTCAGTCTCAATAAAGTTATTAGTATGTGGTAATCCCATTACTAAATGAAATGTTACATTATCTCTACCATAACCTAAGAAGATACTATAAATAGTTAAAATACTCATCGGTATCGCCATGAATGTACTTTCATGTATATTATTATAAGTTAATTTATTGCTACGTGGATTATTATAGAAAGTTAAATATAATAATCTTAATGAATATATTGATGTAAGTACTGCTGATGATGTAGCAATATAATACATAATATATCCACTTACAGAATAAGTTCCATATAATGATTCAATGATTATATCTTTAGAATAATATCCGGTTAATCCTGGTATAGCCATTAATGATAATGAAGCTATTAATATTGTAGTATAACTAAATGGTAAGTAATTTAACAGACCTCCATATTTACGTAAATCTTGAGTTTCAGACATAAAACTATGTATGATAGAACCAGCAGACATAAATAATAAAGCTTTAAAGAATGCATGACAATATAAATGATAGATAGCTAAATCGTATGAGTTTGAACCGATAGCTAACATCATTATAGCTAATTGTGACATAGTAGATAAAGCAATTACTTTTTTAATATCATTAGATACTATAGCAATTAAACCACTCACAAGAGTAGTTAAACCACTTAATCATAAGATTACTAATAATACAGAAGGTGTATATTCTAAAATGTAATGAGATCTAACTAAAACGAAGACCCCACTACATACCATAGTTGCAGCATGTAAAAGAGCACTAACTGGAGTAGGCTAATATGGACTATTTCATTCAATATATATATATTGATTTCACATTTAGTCTCTGAAGTTATAGATATATAACCTGCTGATAAATAAAGTCTAAAAGGTAATTATCACTTGCCCCGACGACTAATAGTCGTCGGGGCATAGTATACCCTCTTATTTAATCTTCCAGCAATTGGTGAATTTTTATGAGGAACCTCTTAATTTGCGCCTATTTCATCCCTCCATTGCAGACAATAATCATGCGTGTAAACCTAGTTGAGCACTCTTAGCGGTTGCTGCTCCTAATAATAATAAACTTAATATTGATAATCTAAAAGTATCAAAATGTGGTGATAGTAATTCAACTGTTTCAAAATCAACTGCACGATATCATATTAATGTACATCCTAAAAAGATTACAAATAATGTATCTCCCATACGATTTAATAATATAGCTGATAAAGCTGACTTCATCGCTGCAATACGTGTATTTCAGAATGATATTAATAAATAAGATACTATACCAACAAACTCTCAACCTATAAACATTACAATATAGTTATCACTTATAACTAAAACAGTCATAAATATAGCAAAAACACTTAAAATAATATAGAAACGATTACGATTAGGGTCATGACTCATATAATCTAAAGCATATAATAATACAGATAAAGTAACAATACCGACAGGTACCATAACAGTTAATGAAAGTGGATCTAATAATATACCATAATTAATTTGGATATCTCCGACTGTAAATCAAGTACCTAAAGTTATAGATATTGACTCTTCATAAAAGTAAACTAATCAAGACATTATAATATATTAGTTATTTTCCCTCTTAATCTGTAATACGATACTAATAAACTTAAACCTATTGCTGATTCAGCACCGGCAAGTATTATAATTAATAAAGCATATATAGTTGATTGTATATCATCATATACACCACCGATATAAATAATTTTAATAGTTATTGTTAATAATAAAATTTCAATAGCTATAAGTAAAGTAATAATATTATTCTTACTTAAATAAAATGTTAATAATGTTGTAATAACTGCTATCATAAAAAATAAAATTTTATTATTAATTCATTTATATGTTTAATTAGATTAAATATTAATTTATCTTTTAAGACAGGTCAAATGTATGAGGAGGTCAAGATGGCGGTGATCAACTTTTATATACATAAAAGTTAATCAGATCACTCTTATCCTGACCAACCTTGATATATCTTTTATAAGTAGAGAGTATCGATTCGGGTATGCCTTGGTGAATATAAGTATATCTAATAGGTTAAGTATGCCTTGAAGAATATGACATGAATTGATATTTTATCTATGCCCGGTTTCAATATTATGACCCAGCCCACACGAAATCCCGGTCAACTTTGTTGACCGGGATAGATATCAATAAGTAAAAGAGATATAAAATAGATCAAATAAGTAATCAAATAGATATTTTATCTATGCCCGATTTCAAATATATGTCCTAAATCCACAATATAACCCGGTCAACAATGTTGACCGGGTTAAGTTAGGCATAAAATCATTAATATGACCTAAATAGATATATCATCTATACCCGGAAAACTAAATACATGACCTAAATCGACAAGAATACCCGGTCAACTACGTTGACCGG